CCCCAAAACCCCAAAACCCCAAAACCCCTTATTTATTATTAAAATCGGGAATATGGAGCAAAAGGTTCAAATTAGGTCTATTTCGAATCCCAGAAAAAGCTCTGCTGGCCGGAGACCTCCTGATGTATTTAAAAATCAGAAGGTAGCAAAGCCTTCGTTCACGACTGCCTTTACACTTCCCGGCCGAGTAAACCAGATGTAAGAATTTTCATACGAATTTAGCAATTCAAATATCAAGACTCCGAATAAGCCAGAATACGTTTATGGCCCAACCATTGGTATGAAATATGAGGTGTTAAATTCAAGGTATTTAGCTTTCTTTAAGATTCAGTGCCGACCATTTTTATAAGACCAAACCTAGATTTAAGACACCTTCATTAAGAAGAGCCTCTGTGGTTAGTTCCGAGTCAGAAGCTACAAGTACCTCAGTGATGGATATAGAAAGGTAATTTTCCAATTAAACCTCTCTAGCGCCACCTCAAACATGAAAGTGTACTACAAAGATGAGGAAGAGCAAGTTGATAAAGCCAAAATCCTGATAGATGATCCTTCGCGAGTCTCTTCAAAGCTCAGCCTGACAATAAGCGGCTCAAAGGAGGACTCTAATACCAAAAAGAAAGGAAATAGAGAAGCTTATGTCATCTACGACAATGGGGATACATTCGAAGGAAGTATTCGCAACAACAGGAGGAACGGCTACGGTGTCCTACTCAGTAAGCACATTTAGCTTAAATACTAACTCTGGCTGACTCTCTCTTTAGGAGACAACAAGTTCAAGTATGAAGGAGAGTGGAAGTTCGATAAAAGAGATGGATATGGCGTCCAAAAGTGGAACGGAATCGGAGTCTACGAAGGCCTTTGGAAAAACGACAAACAAGTCGAAGGAACTATGATCTGGGATGACAAATCTTATTACAAAGGACAGTTCCATGGGGACTTCCTCAATGGCCAAGGCACCCTTGTCACAGCAGAAGAGATTATTAGAGGAGAATGGAAGAAATCTAAGCTTAATGGTCAAGGAGAAAGAATTTTACTTGCTGACAATTCACGATATGTAGGAAAATGGATTCAAGGAAAACTTACAGGTCAAGGAGAGTTTCATAGTCCAAATGAGACCTATGTTGGGCATTTTAGTAATAATTTGGAGCATGGGAACGGCAAATAAAGTGTATTCAGACGGAACTATATATGAAGGAAAATGGGATAATGGCCTTCCTCATGGCTTTGGGAAGCACACTCATCCAGATGGAAGTACCTACAAAGGACATTTCGAGGACGGGTTCAAACAAGGTCAAGGAACTCTAGAATGTCCTGAGTACAAATATTCAGGAGGATGGCAAAATGATAAGTTCTATGGCCATGGACACTACAAGTAACTTTTCTGATAACTCTAAAGAAATATTTACAATTTGGAATATGAGGGAGACTTTGTTAACGATGAAAAGAGTGGATTTGGAAAATTAAAGTAAGAACTTGATCAACCTTTAAGAGTCTCCATGCCAGAAGAAATGAAGGGTAAATAAGTTCAAATTTCAGTCAGAAACTTACATTGGAGATTTCCTCTCTGATAAATTTAACGGCAAAGGCAAGTACCTCTTTGCAGATGGAAGTGAATATGACGGAGAATGGGCTAATAATATGATGGAAGGCCATGGAAAATTGACTATTGAAGGTAATTTAAGATCCTAATTGAAACTTAGATGGACAAGAAATTGAAGGAGAATTTTCCAATGGAGAAGTTACCAAAAATGATGGGGAGATAGTTAAGATACCAGAAAAATATCGCATGGATGATCAGTAAGATATCAAATTCTTCCGATAGCTTCAGATTTATAAAGTATCACTCCCTAAATATTTTACCATTGGCAAGAATAGGTTTCAAAAGTATGATATTTTAAGGGGTTTTGGGGTTTTGGGGTTTTGGGG